GCCGGAGAGCGGCACCTGAGTCCCGGACGCCGGGCGCGCAGGGTTCGGCGGAAGGCCCCGCTGTCTGCAGAGGAGTCACGGGGACAGGCAGGGCAGCCTCAGGGGAGGTGAGGAGACACCCGTAGTGCGGGCAGCCGGGAGTGGGGAGAATCCACCCGCCAGAAAGCTCCTGGTTCTTGGAGCCGTCCCCAAGAGTTTCTCCTAGGCGTGAAGTGTGCCCTGCTCTAGCCCAGCTATTCTGGGGACTCAAGATTTTAGGCCTTAACTCTGCAGTCTGTGTCGGTCTTGTACTCTCCTGGGAGCTACCTGGTAAGATAGTGCTGTCAGCGTTGCTGTTCGGTAAGGAGGAGGCAAAGGCAGAGAGTGGTGTGGTCACTTGGTCACACGGGAGAATCAAGCAGGCATTCAGGACCTCATTCTGAGCTTTCTCCAGAAGATAAAATAGCATTTCTGGTAGAGAAAGTAATATTTTGTATCACAGAATCAGTCTTCAAGATCTTCGAGAATTTGATTCCTCATACCTGTAATTAAGAAAGAACACTTTAGCAGGGCGTGGTGGCACATGCCTGTAATCCCAGCACTTGGGAGGCGGAGGCAGGAGGATTGCTGTGAGTTTGAGACCAGCCTGGGCTACATAGTGAGTTCCAGGTCAGTATCAACTACTAGTGAGACCCTGTCTCAAAAAACCAAAAAAATAAAAAAAATTTAAAAAAACACTTTGACAAGTTCCCTTTCTTAATCAAAGAGTCTCCAGAGGATGCCAAGTGTTGCCTGTTGGAGATTTCACAGCAGGCAGAGAGAGCTGTAGGTTCTACCCATCTTGTTCTGAGTAAACCCTATTTTCTGGAATCCCCCCAGTGACAAGAGTCCAGGCCTGGGGCACGAGGTACCATGTACTGTACATTTCTACTCACTGGATATGCAGTTTTTGATTAGTAATGCTGTGAACTTCAAGCGGTGTGCCGAATTCATTAACCTAAAGAAAGAAATACTTTAAAGGGAAAAAATAATAGTGGAGGAGAGGGATGGGTCTGGGTTTAGAGCCTTCTAAGAAAAACCCTTGCTTGGGCCTCATAACCAAGGGGAATTGGAAAAGAGCTGGAGTTTCTCCATGAAGGTTGAAATGCTGGCTTTTTAGGTTTTGAATTCCTTGGGGCTTGAAGGAAAAAATAAAAGGCAATAAATAGTTACATAGGAAGTAGAAGATCCAAGTTTCATCCCAAGATCAAAGACAAGCAGGAGTGACCATTACTGAGGTTAGCAGGAACAAATGTGTGTCTATATCTTCATGCTTTCCCACCTCCCCTTTCCTTCTGGACTCATTTTTGTATGGTCCTATCTTTGATCCCTTTTTGCCAGTGACATTTTAGATTATTGACATTACATCAAGCAATCTAGATTTCCACTCACACCCCAAGTTGGAGCTTCTGTTGAATATATCCTTCTCACTTACCAGTTCTGCCCTTTCCTGTTTGTTTTTGTTGTTTGTCCCCTACCCTAGGTGCTCAAGAATAGCCCATGGAAGAATCATCTGAAGAGGTGGTGATTAAGATCTCAGACCTGGAGTGGACATGTTTGGATTTCCAACAGCTACCCTGCTGGACTGTCATGGGAGATATGCCCAGAATGTAGCATTTTTCAGTGAGTGAGTCAGCTAGTAGCTGGGATGCAGTTCTCAGACACTCAGGGTCCCTGCCCTTCGCACTGATCCGTAGTCTAAGGATACAGAAGAGACATTCTTTTGGTGGTACACTCTGTTCCTTGGGGTCATAGGAAAAACTTACAAGCTAAAGTTAGAAATAATAGTCAAGAGCCAGGGATTCAGCTCAGTGCTGCTGCCTGTCTAGCAAGCACCAGGTCCTGAGTTCAATCCTTGATACAAAAAAAGAGAAAGAAAGAAAAAGAAATAATAGTCAAAACAGAACAAGAGAGCAGTCTTGATGTAGAGGTAGTCTTGAAATGGAACCTGAATGAATGTGCACCTTTAATTCAGCCCCATCACTGAGTAAGGATAAGGTAGGGGAGCAAGGAGAAAACATCCTGAGGATGACACCAAGAAAACTAGTAATGGTGGTGAATGGACCCATATTTAAAGTGCACTAGGAAGCTCAGATACAGGGAAATACTGTCAGTGTCTGCAAATGAGGCTTGACATACGGTGCATACATGTTAATCCCAGCTTTCTGGGAAACTTAAGGCAGAAAGATTACAAGTTCAGGCCTATCCTGGACAACATAGTGACTTAGCAAGACCCCATTTTAAAATTTTAAGAAATTTTAAAGGCTATATATGTTGCTTAGTGCAAAAGCCCTGGGTTCTATCCATAGTACAAGGATAAAAAACTGCATACAAAAAAATGTTTAAGAAATATTGTGAAGGCAAGTTGATTTCAGGACCACTGTAGCTTAACAGATTGAAAATAGTATGGATATTAGAAGAAAAAATTTCTTCAATCAGATTCTTTAATTGCCCTGGATAGATTTGCAATATCAGAAAAGTTATTTAACTTCCTTAATCTCTAGGCTCTTCATCTATAAAATGGGACAGTAAGCTTGTAGGATTGCAGGGTTAGAGATGAAAGTTAAAAAAATACCCAGTATTCTGCTTCATATTTTCTGAAGTGATAAAGCTTATTCCACTAACAAGAGAACAGAGTGGAGTAGGATGGATTTCTCAGGAAATTAATACAACTCAAGCCTCTGGATGCCTTACTGGCATTGGTCTCTTTGAAGACTTTCTTTTTTATACTTTTTTTTTAAAAGGAATACCTCTAAAAAAGTTTGATAGTTTTAGGACCTTCGTATCCCAGACCCACACCTTGTTTGGGAGTAAGATAAAACTTGAGCATAGCACTGGGAGTAATCCTGTATAGTTTCCTTGATTTTCTGAGCCTCTCTTCTTATCTATAATCATGCCTGCCTCAAAAGAAGATTTTGGATGGTTTTTTTGTTTTGTTTTGTTTTTTGTAAAACAATACAATTATTTTAATTTTCAAATTATAAAAGTGTTAGAAATTGCTTTAATATATCTCTTTTGTCATTTACATCCACAGATACGTTGAAATTATTGACTAATTTCTTTTTTATCCTGGTCCCAGCATTGAACCCAGGGCCCTCACAGTGAGCTACATCCCCAGCCCTTTGTTTATTTTTTTATTTTGAGACAGGGTCTTACTAAGTCACTAAATTGTGGAGGCTATATTTAATTTGGAGATAGTGCATGGCTATGGAGCATGCTGTGTTTAAATCAAACCTAAGTTATCTAAGGTCGTGACCCTTGATACCTTCCTTATGCCCTCATTTCCTTATCTGTAGCAATCTCATTAGATTGCTTTCAGGATTAAATTAACTATGCAGAGTTCACAGTATAATGTCTAGGACATAGTTAGCACTCAGAGCATTGTGTTTCTCTTTTTCCTATTCTCATTCGGTATATTGGTGCATCTTACATGACTTCCCTCTCATTTTACCAGATGTGATGACAGAAGCCCACCACAAATATGATCACTCTGAGGCCACAGGATCTTCCAGCTGGGATTTTCAGAATGCTTTTAGAAGAGAGAAGGTGGAACAGAAGTCTGCAGATTCTAAGACACTCCAAGAAGATTCACCTGGAGTGAGACAGAAGGTTTATGAGTGCCAGGACTGTGGCAAGTCCTTCCGGCAAAAAGGTAGCCTGACGTTACATGAGAGAATCCACACTGGGCAAAAGCCCTTTGAGTGCAGCCATTGCGGAAAAAGCTTCCGGGCCAAAGGAAATCTTGTTACACACCAGCGAGTACACACGGGAGAGAAGCCCTATCAGTGCAAAGAGTGTGGGAAAAGCTTTAGTCAGCGAGGCAGTCTGGCCGTCCATGAAAGACTCCACACTGGACAGAAACCCTATGAGTGTGCCATTTGCCAGAGAAGCTTCAGAAATCAAAGTAACCTTGCTGTTCACCGAAGAGTTCACAGCGGTGAAAAGCCCTACAGATGTGACCAATGTGGGAAAGCCTTCAGTCAGAAAGGTAGCTTAATTGTTCACATCCGGGTGCACACGGGCCTGAAGCCCTATGCCTGTGCCCAGTGTAGGAAGAGTTTCCACACTAGAGGGAATTGTGTTCTACATGGCAAAGTCCACACAGGAGAAGCACCCTACCTGTGTGGCCAGTGTGGAAAAAGCTTCACTCAGAGAGGGAGTCTGGCTGTGCACCAGCGAAGCTGCTCACAGAGGCTCACCCTTTGACTTTCTTCACAGGAAGTTCTCTCTATGGATTAAAGAAAATTATCTTTATGAATTAAGAGTGCAAAACCCTCTGCAATCACACAGCCTATCCAATGGTGTGGAATGAATGGTGAATCTTCTAGGAAGACCAATGTTGGGTAGGATAAACTGACTTTTTTTCCTTTCCCCCAGGTGAATATAAAAAATAAACGTCTTGTTTATCATTATCATGTATTTTTCATAATTTGTCAGTTCATTTTGACCTAATTTCTCAAGGTACCCTCATTAATCTAGTGCTATCCTGCAGATTATTCAATGTAGCAGATACAGATTTTAAATTTGTAGATGATACCATCAGCCTTTAAAACTAAGCAGCTTCTTGTTAACCCCAAGGTCCTTTACTTCCCTATATACTCAAATTAATCTTGTTTTACATTCACGATCACTGGCCAGAATGCAGGGGGAAATTTTAATTACTTTAATAATCCTCATGTTAAATTTTTTACTATGTAGACAAATCATTACTCCTAAACTACTATTGTTCATAGCAGAGGCCCTAACCTTTTCTTAACAGAGGTTTCCTTTCCAAGCCTGCAAAGGTTTGAGGTTTTAAGATTTTTTCAAACTCCATTCCTAACATGGATAGAGATAGTTTACCTATAGTCAAAGAGCAGACAACTGCCATGTGCAATTTTTTAATTTCTAAACTCCTGAAGTTCTATAACAATGCTGTGTTCTTCCTCCACAGAATAAATTTAACTTTTTTAACCTCTAGGGGATGAGACTTGAAGAAAATTGAACAGAAGTTGATTTTGTGGGGAAATGTCCATTTTTTAATTTTAGCCATCTCTATAACTTTTTATGCTGAGCGTTTATATAACTAAAGTAATGAATGAAGTATAGTGTGTTTTCTACTAAGTCCTATAAACTGTGCGCTCTTTAATCCCAAAAGCTCTTGACATAGGAGGCTGAAGCAGAAGGATTGCAAGTCTGAGCCCAGCCTGGGCAGCTTACCAAAATTTAAAAATAAATAAAGGGGAACTGGCTGGGGTCATAGTTCACTGCAAAGACCCTGGAATTAATCCCTGGTATGACCTTTTTTTTTTTTTTTTTTTAAACTCATGATAGCTGATCTTTATCGTCTAAAGAGGGAAATTGCATCAAAAGTCTTTGAACATTGATTGGTAAGAAAATAGTATTCTAGGGGGCTGGGGATTTAGCTCAGCGGTTTGGTGGCCTGCCTTGCAAGCGCAAGGACCCAAGTTCAATCCCCGGTACCAAAAAAAAAAAAGAAAATAGTATTCTCAAAGATAGTCTGATAACATTAGAAGATAGACACAAATAGTTCTTAACACTCTCTTTTGTAATAGCCACACTGGAAATAACTCAAGAGGCCCAACAGGAAATAAGAGGTAAATAAATTATTCATACAATAAATACAAGTCACCAATAAAAAGCAAACAGTGTGTGGCACAGTGGCACACTTCTATACTCCCAGTTACTCAAGGCTGGGGCAGGAGCCCGAGTTCAAAGCCAGTTGGGGGCAAATAGACACTCAAAAACTAAAAAGGGCTGGGCACGTATATCACTGTGGTAGAGCACCCCTAGGTTCAATCCATATAGGAAAAAAGTGATGCAGGTATATATATATATATATATTTCAAAGCCATATGTTGAGTGAAAGAACCTAAGCACATTCATACAAACATACATGCACACACAATATACTGTATAATTTTATTTGTATATCTTCACACAAGACTAAGTATTAAAGAGACAGAACTTTCTATAGAATAAAAAGTATTACACCTTCCTTATTTCAGGTGATAGTCTCATGAGTGTACAGTTGAATTCAACACTTAGGATCTGTATGTTTATTTACTATGCACTTGAAGAATGAGGTAAATTACTAGTTTTTTGGTACCCATGAAAAGACAGAATGTCACCTCTCCTGGACTTGGACAGGCTACAAACAATAGAAACAACAGAAGTGATACTACGTGACTTCCAGGATAGGTCTGAAAAGCTTACTGGCTCTCCTGGGACACTTAATACAGGAGAAACCTGCCACAATGGAAAAAGCCCAACTATCCTGAAACCATTAGAAAGCACAGATTGCATGTAAGTGTGCTCATGGGCAGATTCAGCTGAACTCCCAAGAGATAGCTGACATGAACTCCAAGCTGTGAAATCCAGTCACTGCAGACACCCAGCCCAAGAGAACTTCAGATGATTTCTGCCTTGCTGACCTCTGACCCCAAGTTGTCAACCAAGCCATATTCCTGTCTGGACTCTGGATAGAGATGATCCCTTCCTAAGCCCACTCAGGTGGTAGCAGAATACATTCCCTTGTAGGACTGAAGGTACCAGCTTCTAACTGGTTCTTGGCTGAAGTTTGATTTAGGTGCCTGGAAGTTTACTGCCACCGTATGGTAGTTTGCTTTTAAGTCTAATTAACTCAATTTATCTTTACAGTCTACTAAGAACACAGATACACATAGCTTAATCATAGCAGTGATATTCCATCATGTTTGCCATACTCTGTATATAGTTGGAAGCAAGACTCATTCTACTCACACTCAGAGAGGGGAATATACAAGGGTAGAGGTCTTTGGGGGTAACCCTGTTAACATTCACTTCTTAGGGCTGCTAGTGTTATGGAAGAAATTGGCAAGTGACACACAGGCAGCAGAATGGAAGTAAAATAATAAAGAGTTTACATGTCAACAAAGGATCGAATGTACATAAAATCAGTACCTGGATCAACGATGCACTGGGTTACAAACTCCTCTTTTTTATAGGGTTTTGCAGCCTTAACTTCACTTGAGTGGTTACATTTCATTCTCATAGTTCATATTGCTGATATACAAATCATGCTTACAAGACAGGAGAGTTTAAGATTTGCCTAGTTATCTATCGTAGCCCATAGGAAGGGAGGTGTTTAGGGTCAGGGGAGCAAATGTTAGCAATGGTCCTTTTCATCTTGACACTGGTTTTTTTGGTGGTGGTGGTGGTGGTAGTTTTTGTTTTTTGGGGGTTTTTTTTTGTTTGTTTTTTTTTTTTTGGTTTTTTGAGACAAGGTCTCAATATGTAGTTGAGACTGACCTGGAACTCACTATGTGACCCAGGCTAGTCTTGAACTCACAGTGATCCTCCTGCCTCCCGAGTGCTGGGATTACAGGCGTTCGCCACCATGCGCAGCTAGGGATCTTGACACTTTTAATCATAATGATCATTTGTCTCCATTCTCTTTAGAGCTCAAGATCTTGACATGCCCTATTATCTCAGGATAAGACCATATGTCTCATTCAGTAATTAATGCCTTCAGTGTGTGGTAGTCCTGAACTAAACAAAATAAATTGCTATTAGAGACAGCAGAAGCCATTCTACATTGAGATACTTTATAGGTTTTTGCTATTTATAAAAGTTTTCTCTATCACTAAAACAAATGTATGCTTTGCCTTCTGTTTTATACATTCTATAAACAGGCTTCAATTTCTTTTATATTTTAAATTCTATCTGTGGTATACTTTTATCATAAAAGGTCTAAGTAATACACAAACTATGAAAGTATACCATTCTATTATTCAGCCATTTTACCCATGTTTTAAACATCTTTCTGTTAGTTCTCATAAATCTAATTTATCAAATATTAATTAATTTGACTGCCTTTTAATTATTAAATGACAAGTGACAAGGAATGCATGTATCTTTTTTTTTTTTTTTTTTTTTTTTTTTTTTTTTTTTTGTACTGGGAATCAAACTCTGGTCTTTGCACTTGCAAGGCAGGCAGTGGAACCACTGAGCTAAATTCCCATCCCAGGAAGGCATTTATCTTAATTTGACAATTGCTCGCTTATGGACATTACATTACTACAACAGTAAAGACCTTTTTATTTTTTAGTACCAGGGATTGAACTTGATACCTTGTGCTTGCAAGGCAGGCTGTAAAGAGCATCTTTACTTCAGGTTTGGTTTGCTTCAGTTCAGGACAAGTTCTTGTTATATAATCCAGGCTAACCTGAAACTCATTATGTAGGCCAGACTAGCTTCACAATCCTCCTGCCTCTGTGCTCCCTGTACTGGGATTATAGGCATGTGTCACTATGCCTGCCTTTTATTAACTGTTAATAAAAATGTTAGGGTCAAAAATAAAATAAAATTGAAACCATAAAAAAAATGTTAGGGTCAAAGAACAATGGTACAAATTATGCTTCTCATCAGCAAGTACATTGCTAATTCACAATTTCATATGTAAAGTGTGCCTATATTCTTGAACTCTCAAAAGCACCAAATTTGTCTATTTTATTAATTTTTGATATACAGACACAGAAATCTGATTTTTTTTCCCAGGTACTGAGGATCAAACTCAGGACCTTGGACTTGTGATGCAGGCATGACACCACTAAGCTAAATCCCCAGCCCTTTTATGTGGTTTTTAAATTTTATTTTTATGGCTTCTAAATTTCTAAATTAGGAAGACAACTATATTAAATTAGATATGGTATGTTAATGTATATTTGATTAAATATTTCAAAGAACACAAAGTAAAATTTGGCTTTATACCAATACCACATCCTCCTCAAAGATGACTACTGTTAAAGTTTCTGTATTGCCTCTGTTTTAGCAGATCTTTTTGAATGTATATAATGCATATGTACAAGTGCTAAAGAATAGCTTTATTTTTAAAATATAAATTAGACTATAACATACTGATTTTCTACAACTTGCTTTTATTGTTGTTTTTGTGGTGCTGGAGATTGAGCTCTGAGCCTCTCATGTGCTAGCCTTACAGTCTTCCTGCCTCTGTGCTCCCAGGTGCTTGGGACACTACCACTGAGCTATAACCCAGGCCCAACAAGCTGCTGTGTGTAACCTACGGTATCATAGGGATATTTCTACTGCTGACTCAGAGTTCTGGCTCATTCTTTTCAATTGGTACCCAATTCTAGAGTAACTGTTTCCACATTGATATATTTACACTCCTCAAATATCTCACTTGTGCAAAACATACAATGAACACCCTCACAAATGAGAAGTTCTCCCAGACAAGTACACATCTTCGCTAAATGTGTAATTCACTGAATGTCTCCTCTTTGACGGTCAGAGGGAATAAAGTACTTCTGCATGAGAACACACTAACTACATCCAATGGCTCTTTCTTGGTTCCCGGTTTTCTTATGTTGTGTAAGGGCTGAACCCTGAGGGAAAGCA